TTACTTCTATTCACCTGATTATTTACTTCTATTCACCTGCTAATTTACTTCTATTCACCTGATTATTTACTTCTATTCACCTGCTAATTTACTTCTATTCACCTGCTAATTTACTTCTATTCACCTGATTATTTACTTCTATTCACCTGCTAATTTATTTCTATTCACCTGATTATTTATTTATATTCACCTGCTAATTTACTTCTATTCACCTGCTAATTTATTTCTATTCACCTGATTATTTATTTCTATTCACCTGCTAATTTACTTCTATTCACCTGCTAATTTATTTCTATTCACCTGCTAATTTACTTCTATTCACCTGATTATTTACTTCTATTCACCTGCTAATTTACTTCTATTCACCTGATTATTTATTTCTATTCACCTGCTAATTTACTTCTATTCACCTGATTATTTATTTCTATTCACCTGATTATTTATTTCTATTCACCTGCTAATTTACTTCTATTCACCTGATTATTTATTTCTATTCACCTGCTAATTTACTTCTATTCACCTGCTAATTTACTTCTATTCACCTGATTATTTATTTCTATTCACCTGCTAATTTACTTCTATTCACCTGCTAATTTACTTCTATTCACCTGATTATTTATTTCTATTCACCTGATTATTTACTTCTATTCACCTGCTAATTTAATTCTATTCACCTGATTATTTATTTCTATTCACCTGCTAATTTACTTCTATTCACCTGATTATTTATTTCTATTCACCTGCTAATTTACTTCTATTCACCTGCTAATTTACTTCTATTCACCTGCTAATTTACTTCTATTCACCTGCTAATTTACTTCTATTCACCTGCTAATTTACTTCTATTCACCTGATTATTTACTTCTATTCACCTGCTAATTTACTTCTATTCACCTGATTATTTATTTCTATTCACCTGCTAATTTACTTCATTCACTGATATTACTTTATTCTTCTATTCACCTGATTATTTACTTCTATTCACCTGCTAATTTACTTCTATTCACCTGATTATTTATTTCTATTCACCTGCTAATTTACTTCTATTCACCTGATTATTTATTTCTATTCAACCTGCTAATTTAACTTCTATTCACCTGCTAATTTACTTCTATTCACCTGATTAATTTACTTCTATTCACCTGCTAATTTACTTCTAGTCACCTGATATTTATTCTGATTCAATCACCTGCTAATTTACATTCTATTCACCTGATTATTTATTTCTATTCACCTGCTAATTTACTTCTATTCACCTGATTATTTATTTCTATTCACCCTGCTAATTTACTTCTATCACCTGCTAATTTACTTCTATTCACCTGATTATTTATTTCTATTCACCTGCTAATTTACTTCTATTCACCTGCTAATTTACTTCTATTCACCTGATTATTTACTTCTATTCACCTGCTAATTTACTTCTATTCACCTGATTATTTATTTCTATTCACCTGCTAATTTACTTCTATTCACCTGCTAATTTACTTCTATTCACCTGCTAATTTACTTCTATTCACCTGATTATTTACTTCTATTCACCTGCTAATTTACTTCTATTCACCTGATTATTTATTTCTATTCACCTGCATAATTTACTTCTATTCACCTGCTAATTTACTTCTATTCACCTGATTATTATTTATTTCTATTCACCTGATTATTTACTTCTATTCACCTGATTATTTACTTCTATTCACCTGATTATTTATTTCTATTCACCTGATTATTTACTTCTATTCACCTGATTATTTACTTCTATTCACCTGCTAATTTACTTCTATTCACCTGATTATTTACTTCTATTCACCTGCTAATTTACTTCTATTCACCTGCTAATTTATTTCTATTCACCTGATTATTTATTTATATTCACCTGATTATTTACTTCTATTCACCTGCTAATTTACTTCTATTCACCTGCTAATTTACTTCTATTCACCTGCTAATTTACTTCTATTCACCTGCTAATTTACTTCTATTCACCTGATTATTTACTTCTATTCACCTGCTAATTTACTTCTATTCACCTGCTAATTTACTTCTATTCACCTGCTAATTTACTTCTATTCACCTGATTATTTATTTCTATTCACCTGATTATTTATTTATATTCACCTGCTAATTTACTTCTATTCACCTGCTAATTTATTTCTATTCACCTGATTATTTACTTCTATTCACCTGCTAATTTATTTCTATTCACCTGATTATTTACTTCTATTCACCTGCTAATTTACTTCTATTCACCTGATTATTTATTTCTATTCACCTGATTATTTACTTCTATTTACCTGATTATTTACTTCTATTCACCTGATTATTTATTTCTATTCACCTGATTATTTACTTCTATTCACCTGATTATTTACTTCTATTCACCTGATTATTTACTTCTATTCACCTGATTATTTACTTCTATTCACCTGATTATTTACTTCTATTCACCTGATTATTTATTTCTATTCACCTGATTATTTACTTCTATTCACCTGATTATTTACTTCTATTCACCTGCTAATTTACTTCTATTCACCTGATTATTTACTTCTATTCACCTGATTATTTACTTCTATTCACCTGATTATTTACTTCTATTCACCTGCTAATTTACTTCTATTCACCTGCTAATTTACTTCTATTCACCTGATTATTTACTTCTATTCACCTGCTAATTTACTTCTATTCACCTGATTATTTATTTCTATTCACCTGCTAATTTATTTCTATTCACCTGATTATTTATTTATATTCACCTGCTAATTTACTTCTATTCACCTGCTAATTTACTTCTATTCACCTGCTAATTTACTTCTATTCACCTGCTAATTTACTTCTATTCACCTGATTATTTATTTCTATTCACCTGATTATTTATTTATATTCACCTGCTAATTTACTTCTATTCACCTGCTAATTTATTTCTATTCACCTGATTATTTACTTCTATTCACCTGCTAATTTACTTCTATTCACCTGATTATTTATTTCTATTCACCTGATTATTTACTTCTATTTACCTGATTATTTACTTCTATTCACCTGATTATTTATTTCTATTCACCTGATTATTTACTTCTATTCACCTGATTATTTACTTCTATTCACCTGATTATTTACTTCTATTCACCTGATTATTTATTTCTATTCACCTGATTATTTATTTCTATTCACCTGCTAATTTACTTCTATTCACCTGCTAATTTACTTCTATTCACCTGATTATTTACTTCTATTCACCTGATTATTTACTTCTATTCACCTGATTATTTACTTCTATTCACCTGATTATTTACTTCTATTCACCTGATTATTTACTTCTATTCACCTGATTATTTACTTCTATTCACCTGATTATTTACTTCTATTCACCTGATTATTTATTTCTATTCACCTGATTATTTACTTCTATTCACCTGATTATTTACTTCTATTCACCTGATTATTTATTTCTATTCACCTGATTATTTATTTCTATTCACCTGATTATTTACTTCTATTCACCTGATTATTTACTTCTATTCACCTGCTAATTTACTTCTATTCACCTGATTATTTACTTCTATTCACCTGATTATTTACTTCTATTCACCTGATTATTTACTTCTATTCACCTGATTATTTATTTCTATTCACCTGATTATTTATTTCTATTCACCTGCTAATTTACTTCTATTCACCTGATATTTATTTCTATTCACCTGATTATTTATTTCTATTCACCTGATTATTTATTTCTATTCACCTGATTATTTATTTCTATTCACCTGATTATTTATTTCTATTCACCTGATTATTTATTTCTATTCACCTGCTAATTTGCCTTTTTTAACTTTTATATTGACTTGCCATTACAACTTTATTTACCCATATATTTACATGCTTATTTACTTTATTTTTTTTAATGTTTATTTAATTGCTTAATAACAGTATTTCAATTGACCTGTCTTTTTAACTGCCTAATCTTTTTTTATTTACCTATCTCTATTGACTTTGTTCACCTCTTTATTTACCTGCTTATATGCACCTGCTAACCCAGTCCTATGTTTGTTTATGCACCTGTCAACACATACAGCTGTTTGTTTATGCACCTGTCAACACATACAGCTGTTTGTTTATGCACCTGTCAACACATACAGCTGCTTGTTTATGCACCTGTCAACACATACAGCTGTTTGTTATGCACCTGTCAACACATACAGCTGTTTGTTTATGCACCTGTCAACACATACAGCTGCTTGTTTATGCACCTGTCAACACATACAGCTGTTTGTTTATGCACCTGTCAACACATACAGCTGTTTGTTTATGCACCTGTCAACACATACAGCTGCTTGTTTATGCACCTGTCAACACATACAGCTGTTTGTTTATGCACCTGTCAACACATACAGCTGTTGTTTATGCACCTGTCAACACATACAGCTGTTTGTTTATGCACCTAGTCAACACATACAGCTGTTTGTTTATGCACCTGTCAACTACATACAGCTGTTTGTTTATGCACCTGTCACACATACAGCTGTTTGTTTATGCACCTGTCAACACATACAGCTGTTTGTTATATGCACCTGTCAACACATACAGCTGTTTGTTTATGCACCTGTCAACACATACAGCTGTTTGTTTATGCACCTGTCAACACATACAGCTGCTTTGTTTATGCACCTGTCAACACATACAGCTGTTTGTTTATGCACCTGTCAACACATACAGCTGTTTGTTTATGCACCTGTCAACACATACAGCTGTTTGTTTATGCACCTGTCAACACATACAGCTGTTTGTTTATGCACCTGTCAACACATACAGCTGTTTGTTTATGCACCTGTCAACACATACAGCTGCTTGTTTATATGTTGTCTGATCTGTTGGACATGGTTCTTTTGATGTGACTAATGCCAAACCCAACCTAAAATCTGTTTCTACACAATGAAGTGTTTTGAAGTTGGATTGAACACACACACATCTTCAACTAACTTCATCTCTGTGTCCCTCAGGACGGAGGGCGAGGTGAAGCACTGCGTCATCAACAAGACGGGCACCGGCTTTGGTTTCGCCGAGCCCTACAACCTGTACGGCTCCCTGAAGGAGCTGGTGCTGCACTACCAGCACACCTCGCTGGTCCAGCACAACGACTCGCTCAACGTCACGCTGGCCTTCCCCGTCTACAGCCAGCAGAGACGGTGACCCGCCTGCGGGACTCTTCATCCACACGTCACCGTAGCTGCAGAACCAGAACCTGACCACATGACGCGTTTACCGCTTGGCACAACAGCGTCCTGGTGCTGCAGACCTCAGTGGGCCAATGAAAGTGTACAATCCAGTACACTGAAGATGAAGCTTTGTGTGAAGTGAAATGCTTTGTTACATCCTGTAGGAATGGTGAACAATTTCAAATGAATATTTTACTGTGAAAGTCATCAATGAGAGCTTTAACTTCCTGAGGAAAAAGACTTCAAGACGCCAGGTATCTCCCTTAAATTAACAAAAATGTTTTAATTACTTTAATGATTCGGTGCCGGAGATCAACATTAAATGCAATTTACCTTCATCAGAGATGACAGACTGAAGGTTGGGATCCCATGGGACATCAGAAGAGGGGCGTTCGAGTAAAAGACAGACGTTCATCAATGCTCTCTGTCATTCCAAATCTAAAGAAACGTTGTTTAATTAACGAAAATGATACAATTGAATGAAGTTGTTCTTAGGAATGGCTTTAAACTAGCTATAGACAACTGTTCTGCTCTTAGACTTTTCAAGTGGTGTTATCGACCGTTTTGACCTAGAAACGCAGATGTTGGTGCTATTAGAATGGTGCTGAAAAAAATGCCCTTAGTAATAATCAGAAGGCAGTTTTGTTTCACACTTATCTAGTCAAATGCAAACTTAAACATCTGAAGAGTGGGAGCTCTCGCCATCTTCTTAGATTTGTTTTGTATCCCTCTTTCATCGAGGCTTTATTATATCCTAAAGTTTCTTAAGATGTAACGACGTCCACCACTTGTGCTACCTTGGGGACTTTACTTTTGAGACTTGGGAACGTCACAGGAGAAACAAAATTGCGATCTTCTTCCTGTTTTTGTTACTCAAAGATTGATTCCCTTATTTTTGCCGTATATGGATCCTTGAATTTCCCAGTGGCAGCCAGAGTTACAAAGTGAAAGCTAGGCTTATATGGAAACAATCCAAAAGCAGATGGTTATTCTATATCAAATATTTTGCGCAATCATCGTTTCCTCCATAATGAACGTTAACGTGGGAAAAACAATTGTCTATCGCTCTTTAATGCAACCTGAGCTCAAGGTCAAACGAAACAAACACCTGAGAGGCGAGATGGAAGAGGACCGTTCAGGTTAACCTACCTAAAGAACTTGAACGCCTCAGTCTTATCGGAGACACCCGGTGTGGTCATGACCTCAGTGAAATGTCACCGTTTCCTGTCTGAGGAGAGAAGATGAACTGAAGAGCCAAACGTGCCCTTGTTTTGTCGGAGATGAACCGGACTAAAGCTGAACTGACCAACTCCTCCTCTACTCGTTACACTGGCCCTGCACGCTTCAACAGAACCAAAACTATGGACTGATGATGTCAAAGACTAAAATGGCGGACAATCGAGAGACGTTTCTTGCGTAAACACTGTGAGTGGCTCTGGACAAGGTTTAACATGAGGGCAAATCAGGAGAAAATAAACAGGAAACATGCATCATCCAAAGACTCACCCCCCCCACACACACACACACACACACACACACACACCAATAATCCCATCAGTGTTTTTCTAGCTCTCGTTTCTTCAGGTGAGTTGGTTTGCCACCTAAGTGTTGTTTAAGTTTGCTGACCGGACGGATTATCCTTCAATTTTTTCATTTCAATAAATGTCCGTCAGCACAATGGTTTACTCGTGCTGGATAAAAACTGTGATTAAAAAAAATTCAGGAATGACAGAACTGGATCTCTGGATCTTCTCATCTTAAGTTTCAAGGACTAAAGCGCAGCCTGTAAGCATTACTGATCGCAGATATCTGATCCTCATGGTTCCTCTTATGGATGTTATGTTTTCTTCTTTGTGCATTTGGACACACGGCTTCCTTTAAACCAGGTACAGGAGATGAAACTCTCCAAGGATTTTGAAGAAGCCCAAAGTATTACATCATTTTCCCACAACTTGCATCTGTTTTATGGAAATCAATACATGGTTTCAAATTAGTTTGGAACTGTCCAGAACTTTTCAAGCTCTTATTTGACTTATTCCACAGAAGTCCTGTTTTTTCATTCTGACATTGAAACCAAACTAGTGAACGCAAACAAGAATCTGTAATATGAGACGATAACAAGTCGTGAAAAGTTAATTGTTTAAGAATTCTGACGAATAAAATGATTGGTCTGAATGTTTGAAGGCTACTGGAGAAACTTTGTCTCTGCTTTGTTTGAAACAAATCTGTAGATAAAAATAGTATTAATCAGTGTGCGTTTGACCTTTTTCTATTTCCGATTTTGTGCTCCAACAATCACATTCAAGTCACAGAAACACGCCTCAGATTTGGTCCAAATCATTTTAATGTCCCGAGACTCCCAGCAGAGGACAGTATTATCCATAGAAAATAGGACTTATGTAGATAGAACTCCATTAAATGCACATCAAGTATTCCACTTTTCTTTAAATGTGTATAGGTGTTAACAATTTTCTATGCTATATTATGTTTGAGTAAATTATTAAAAAAATATGACTAGATATGGTCATGTATGTTATGAAGCTGTAGCCCTCTAAGACACAGTGGCACTTTGAGCTACATGCTAATATCAGTGAAAAAGTGTGGGACCAAAATAACTATCTTCAAAGTAAGGCCACATTCAAAGTTAAAACTTGCTTAAAGGTTGGGTAGGTAATTTTGGAGAAAACCAGCTCGAGTGCGCTAGAATTTGAAAATACACAACCGGAAAGAATCTGCCTCTTCCTTCCAGAGCCCCTCCTCCAACACACAAACGCGCACATGACCAATGAGGGCACGAGATTGGTTTGTGCACAGATGGAAGGCTGACAGGTATGGAGCTATTTCAGGGTCATAAGTTGTGATCATTCAAAAAAAAAAAAATACAATTTATTTGAAAGTTCAAGTTTTTATCCTGAACATATCTTGAAATACAATGATGTATTCAAAATAAAAATAAGTATTTGAAATAATTTTTCAGGTTGAATATTATTTTGATTCAGTTCAGCAATTTTTTTGAATAAAATATTTATTTTCAGATTTCACTTTTATACATATTTTGACATTTGAATCCTTATTTTTTTCAGTTGCAGATTTTTCGTTTTCAGATTCAAAACAATTTTTTTTCCAGTTTCAAATCTAGTTTTTTCAGGTTTCACATTGCTTTTCACCTTCAGATCGTTTTTCGCTTTCAGACTTTTGGCCCTGGTGTTGCTTGAGGGGGCGGGGCTTAGCAAAGAGTAGTTTGGCATCCTGAGTGGCAGGCCTCCCTCTGTCATGTTGCCTTCATGGATGTTAGGTAGCGCGAGAAATATAACTCAATACTTTCTATACACAATACTCCCGTGATTGGTGGTAAACAAAACTGATACCAGCGTCAAAGTTCCGTTAAGCGTGCTGTTGAGCATCGTAGTTGGCAACAATCAAGGTATAACCGTACTAACCGTACTCAGGGGATGTTAAGAGCATTCCATGGAATAACAAGTGTTTCTGAAATAAATTACATACCTTTAAATATATTATTATTACAATATATCCATTAAAATGTGAATTGACTTAAAGGTAGGGTGGGTAATTCACTTCAGAAACAATTATAGCAGTTATATTCCATGGAATGCTCTTAACACCCCGATAGCAATGAATATATTAAATGCTTTCACAATAAATATATACAAAACGTCATCAGTGGAAGCCGTGGCGCTGTAAAAAGCACGACCAATCATCTGAGCCGGCTAAAGTAACTGGATGGCCTACCTGCCTGTCAGCCTTCCATCTGTGCACAAACTTATCTCGTGCCCTCATTGGTCATGTGCGCGTTCGTGTGTGTTGGAGGAGGGGCTCTGTGAGGAAGTCTGAGGGAAGGGGCAGATTTTTTTGGTTATGTACTTTCAAATTCTAGTGCACTCGAGCTGGTTTCTCCATTCTTACCTAACCTACCTTTAAGCAAGTTTTAACTTTGAATGTGGCTTTACTTTGAAGATTCACATTTCCTGTCATATAAACCATGTGTTATCTCAGTAAAACATTTCCAAAGAAATCTTACATGAAAACTTTCTCTAGATCTTTCTGTAAATTACACAAAGATGACATTTGTTACCAATTCAAAATTCCATTACAGAGAAACAAACACAATGCGACACATGTTAGATTAAGGACATTACAGTTTTAAAATAGTCATCTAGCCAACTTTAATCTCAATAAAGCAAATAGAAACGAGCCCTTCAGTTAACATGCAATGTATTATATAAGTATTAAACAGCTGTTGCAGAGAAGAAAACTAAAAACAGAGGTATGTTTTTATCAGAACGGTGGCACAATGTGATCATAGCATCGATCAGGTGAATGTGATCAAGTATTCTGGGTACGCCTGGCTGTCATTGAAGACTACAAAGATGGTTGCATTGGCGCTGTCATCTGCCACACTGTCGTACAGGTCTGTAACATTTCTGGAGCTCTTGGTGGGGGGGGTGATCATGCCGGCTATTCCCTTGGTGAAGTCTCCTACCAGGACCTTGGCCAGGTACATGCGCCTGTGCTGCTTGGTGTCAGGTTCAGCGTAGTCCTTTGATAATGTCGCGCTCACAGCAAAGTAGGAACCATTGCCGTACTTTGCACCTACTGAACAAAACAAGAGAAAAAACTTGATTTCTATCTAAAGGTGTTGTGATAATGAAGATGTGAATGGGCACTCCACTATGCCACGGTCAACGGTGTGTTAATGTTGGAAAAGCTCTATGTAAATGTAGTCCACCTCCACCTCCTGTCTTCTATGACACTTGAATACACTGTGTAGTTGACTAAGAGAAGAGTATTTTAAGAATGTATTGACTTTTGGTTTAGCCGTTGCATTAACACTAGGGTTGCCAACCGTCCCGTATTAGCCGGGACGTCCCGTATTTGAGCCAAAATGGGCGTGTCCCGTACGGGACTTTGTTTGTCCCGGACTCCCGTGTAAAGGGAAAAATAAAAAATATGTTTTTGTTTGCGCGCAATTCAGTGTGCCTGGCTGCGTGTCTGTGTGTTTGTGTGCTGTATGCGAAGGGTGCTAGGACCGCTCAGTTGACAGGGCAGGCACAATGCTCGCACGTGTGTGTGTGTGAGATTTTCTCCGGTGGGCGGCGGGCGCGGCATCATTGTTTGTGTGGCATGTCAGCCTGTTCATTCGTGTGGGAAAATGAGCGCTGCCGGTGGAGGAGGTGATAATGAAAGAGGAGAAGAGAGAGAGGATGTGGCCCTGGCCCTTCTAAAAAGAAAATACTTGTGTCTTACAACAAACAGTGGGAAGAAAAATACAGTTGGGTAAAGCCCGTGAGTGGAGATCTGTCTCGGGTCTTCTGCACCTTGTGTCGGAGGGAGTTTTCAATAGGTCACGGTGGAGAAAACGACCTGAAACAGCATGCTGGCACAGAGATGCACAAGCGAGCAACACAAAATAAAGGTGCACCAAATATAACTAAATTCTTCGGCAGTTCAACTGCAGAACAGGACAAAGTTGCTGCATGTGAGGTAACATCAGTGTATCACACAGTTAATCATGGTTTGAGTTACAACAGCATGGACTGCAGTAATAAGCTGGCAAGTGCCATGTTTAGTGATTCGAACACTGCAAAGAAAATGCAATGTGGAAGAACAAAGGCTGAGATGATAACAGTCAATGTGCTTGGCCCCAAAACTGTTCGGGATATTATAAAAGAGCTGTGTCCTCCTCCCACCAAGGTTGCAGCAGGTGAGGAGGTGGAGTAACTAAAAAAGTAACTAAATCCGCCAGAAACCCGAAAATCTTTGCGCGTGCGTCCCGTTTTTCCATTTCTGGAAGTTGGCAACCCTAATTAACACAGTGAAATGGCTGTAGCTGAAAGTGACAAGGGAATATGCGGGCAGGTTTTATCACGTCGTTTTGGAATTGCTCCATTAAAAAATAAGGTAGGACTTTAAGCTGCATTCACCTGATCGGCGATTAGCTCTTTGCTCACAGGTAGCTTGCGGCGCGACATGCAGCTGTAAACTAAAGGCACATATCGTATGAATGTAGCTTTAGCTAGCATGGAGGCTCAGGAGGAATATCTTTAAGTAAAACTATTAATAATGGGATTTTTCAGACTTTTTAATTAAAAGTAGGGTAGGTAAGAATGGAGAAACCAGCTCGAGTGCACTAGAATTTGAAAGTACGCAGCCGAAAAAAATCGGCCCCTTCCTTCAGACTTCCTTACAGAGCCCCAAAAAATTGTCCGGCCAGAGCAAAAGCACCACATATGTCACGCTTACGTTGAGGCGGGGGCAGGGGCAGGGGCAGGGGCGGGATCAACTCCTGAACAACAACAAGAAGCCCACGTTTTATCCAGCTTGTACACAACGATGGAGAAACTTAACAAGCAGCAGTGGTCCATTGAAGAGACCAGCTACCTACTGGGAATCTGGTCTTCCGAAGAGGTACAGAGGAAGCTGGAGCACAATCGGCCATTGTTGTTGTTGTCGGTGTGAGCTGTGAGGGGTTTCGCGGTTTGGCTTTAAGAAGCAGGCACGCAAACGGTTACGTCATGACGCAAACGATGACGCAATGACGCAGCACCAGTCGGACTCTGGGCGGTGTGAAAAGAGCCGGAGCTAAACTGAAGAACCGGTTCTGAACCTGAAAAGCTCTAGCATGGAGCTTGAACCGGAGTTGCGTTGGTGTGAATGAGGTATATGGGAGGGCTGAGGGGCTCACGGCAGCTCGTTAACTGCAGAACAATACGTGAGTCTCCAAACACCAGAAAAATCCCTAATAACACCATTACAAGTCGTTAGATTAGTCGTTAGTCGCTTTTGACAAAAATAAGTAGCCGGAGGATTTGGAAAGCCGCCAAATGTAACGACAAAGTCGCCAAGTTGGCAACACTGGCCCCTCCTCCAACACACACGAACGCGCACATGACCAATGAAGGCACGTGATAAGTTTGTGCACGAGATAGGCTGACAGGCAGGTAGGCCATCCAGTTATTTTAGCCGGGCCGGCTAAAATAATTGGTCGTGCTTTTTACAGCGCCACGGCTTCCACATATGACATGTATTTATTGTCAAAGCATTTCATGTATTCATTGCAATCGGGATGTTAAGAGCATTCCATGGAATATAATAACAAGTGTTTCTGAAGTGAATTACCTACCCCACCTTTAATTACTTATTTTTTGGACATATTGGATATTTGAAACTTTTGGAGCT